GGCTAGCCGAGCAACCGAAATGGGCTATCCGAGTAACCGAGGCCAACCGACCCATATAAAACTCGCGCCCAAAAGCCCACCCCAAACCCTATCCTCTTTCTCCTTCTCCTTCGTCGATCTCGACTCCTCCCTTCCCTCACCACCAGCAACCACCCCCCGAATCCACTTCTCCCTGAATCTTCTTCTTCTCCTTAAATTTTCGAATCCCTAAATCTTCTTCTTCTCCCATCAACATTCTATTCCACCCTCACCTCCACAGACACCACCACCAGCACCAGCCGCGGCCTTCCCCTGCCTCCTCCGCTCCCCCTCCTTCCACTGCCACCACAACTTCCTCCACGGCTCCGCCTCCAACCGTCGCGAACTGCATGCAACAGCCTCCACCGTGCCGCGCCGCCTGCCGCCTCCAGCCGCCGCGCGAACGCCGTCTCCCTCCGGCTCTGTCCGCCGTCTTCGCGAGGTCGCTCCTCCCTCTCCCGTCGGCGGCAAGCCTCCTTCTCGGCTGCTTCTTGAATCTTGAGTGGAAAAGAAAGGAGAGAGACGGAGAAGATAATGAATAAGTGGTGGTGGTGGAGGGTTTGAAAGGAGAGAGAAGGATGGAGGAGATAAGGAATAAGTGGTTCCTGCATTTTTTTAATTTTTTAATTTTTTTTAGATTAGGGTCTGGTTTTCAGGCATAAGGTTAACCGAACCAAAACCGGCTAACCGACCGGTCGGTGGTCGGCTAGCCGCTGTATCTTTCACGGTCGGTGGTCGGTATCCGGAGGTGGTCGCTCGGTTTAACCAATAACCGAGAAATTGGTTTTCGGTTAAACCGAAACCGACCGACTGACACCCCTATACCATACCCGTACCCTACCCTTTATTTTGAAATCGGGTATTACCCATACCCGCCTCTTAACCCGTCAAAGCGAGTAATTACCCTCGTTGACCGGTTACGGTCGGGTAGGGTACCCATGGTTACGGGTTGGATTGACATCCCTACCTGCAGCACAACACTCGTTTTCGCCGACTACGTCTATGCCGCTCTCTCTTGCACCGCTCTCGCATTCGGCCACCCCTGCCTTTGCATGTGCCGCCGCCGTCTGGTATTATATTTTTCACGAGCATCCAACTGTAGATTTCCTCACCTATGCAATTGATGCAACCGCCTCCGGTCTAATTTATAGTAGTATACTTCCAGTGGCGGAGGCAGGATTCGAAACTACCCATGTCCTCTTTTCAGAATATAAATATTTAATAATTAAAATTAATAATATTCAAATAATTCATTCATAGATAAAGAAATAACCGACTAATACAATTATTGTTTACATAGACAACCACGAAGAGTTTTTATATTATGAAAGAATTACAAAATACGTTCATTGTTTGCGCTCTTAAGTGAGTCTCTTTCGATCATTTCCACTAGACAATTATTAACAAACTGATCATCAATTCGACTTCGAAACTTGTTCTTAATATATTAATCTAAAAATGCTCTTTCTACTTATAGAGTTGCAACTAGTAGTATCAAAACTAATTTCAGAAGCAAATAAACTAACTCATATTACTTATGCACTTTTGTCTCCATCATGATTTGAGATCATTTATCAATTCCTTTCAATCCAACAAATCTCCCATCAACCATAAAATAATCATAATACCCAACAATCTGTTGTCGAATAATAGTGTCCTGAATGAAATCAATAATTTAATTATTTTTGTCAATAAATGAACAAATAATCAATTATAATGTAGTGTCAAAATATTCTTATATTACTTGTAGATGTGAATTTGATTTTCAGTTAACACATATATGGAATTATTTTTTAACCTCTCAAAAATTGCCCCTGTTCTGGGACAATGGCAAACTCCCTTCCCACCGCCTATGTGTACTTCAGATCTTGTTTGTTAGTGGTTCTTGAACATTGGTAGTGATTCATGATTGTATGCGAAGGTAGTAGTGTTTCTTCGAATGTAATAGTATTTTCATTGTTAGTAATGTTTTCAGAATTTACCTTGTTAGTTGTGTTTTCCTTCTTAGTTGTTCTCATATTAGTAGTATTTCTTTGTAATTGATTTTGAAGAATCAGAAGATCAGTAGTATTTATATGTTTGATTGATTTCATTTCAATTAAGTGTAGTAGTGTTTATACTATTACTATATGGTAGGTTAGTTTCTGAGAGGCTAAACCTCTCCCTAACTTTTTTATCGCCCTAACTTAAAAAGCATAAAATTACTTAATTAACCTTAAAGGAATAAATGAAAATTAACAAAACCAACACCACTAAAATCCCTAATCAGTAATCTCGCCGTATCGCCCTCCAGGGCACCTCCGCCGCAAACCACCTAGTCGCCGGGAACTGCACTTCAATCCAAACCAAATCCGTTTGATTGTGGATAATGATGTTGAGATAATAGAAGGGCTACAATTATGTATGCTCCAGCAATTGCTTCAACGACCACGTAATATCTACATAATTGTATAAACGAATTAATTATTATAGTCGTTATCAATGAAAGATGAACGAAATTGGTCAACTCTAAGACGGGCGTAGGTGTACGTGACTGTAAACGCCTAGTTCAAGACACGAGCAGTCTTATTGCCGGTGACGATTATCACAAGTGCAACCACCGTGGGTCGTGGCACACAGAGCAAGGAGCCTCAGAATAACGGCCACAGCCTTCCTAATCTTCGCCAAGGATGCAGAATTGCAGATGCACACTTCTTCAATGAAGAATTGTTGATTCTGTAATGTAAGGAAATTAAAAACTTTTGAAGTCCAATTATAGCAGAGACAATTTAGAGAGAAAGACAACAGAAAGGTCTTCACATTTTGTGGCGATGTGGGGCGATGTGGCAGAGGAACGAGATGGGATTATAGATATGGAAGACAGATGAAGGAGCTCTGTTTTTCTGAGAACGGTATAATAAAAATATAAATGGCAACTGAATATAATTATTAGCAACGGGAAGCAGAGGGCGAGATATGCAATTATAAATTATTTTTATTGTTGAGTGAGGGTTGTTTGTTAATAATTTTTTTATGAATAATAAAAGAAAGGGATAAAAATGTAACTTTAGTTTTTAAGTTAGGGTGATTATGATTAAAGTAGGGCGATAATTAGCAATCCCTTTTCCTTTAGGAATGTGGCAGGTAAGTATTGATTTTTGTGCTCGTGAATAGAAACGTCTACGTAGAAAATCCCAAAAAATCGGGACGTGCAGTTTCCCATAAATCAACATTAATTTCATATTTTATATTTTTATCCCAGTTTCCGATTATACCCTTTCTTTAATGATAACCATCAAATTAAAAAAATAGTTAGGATGGTGGTAACCCCCTAGGAAGTTAGCACTAGGGATGGCAATGGGTCGGGTTGGGTCGGATTTTGCCAAACCCAAACTCAAACCCATGGGTTTATCCATGAAAAAACCCAGGGTAAAACCCACTGGGTTTGAAAAACTCAAACCCAACCCAACCCGGTGGGTATCCGCGGGTTCATGGGTACCCACGGGTTTTTATCGTAAATAATTTACAATAACAAGTTGCTATCAAAATTAAAGTCAAATATCAATCTCTCAATACAAATTATCCATATATAAAACACCATTCTACAAAATTCAAGCAAATCACAAATTAACTATACAAATTGTTCAACACCAATCTAGAAAACTCAAGAAAATTGAAGCAAATCACAAATTATTCATAAATAACATGATCAATTAAAAGCTTCTTCCTTTCAATTAAGTTTCTTCACTCTCCACTCGATAACATCAACTTCATTCTACACAATTAGAAGGAAAAAATTAGACATGTCTCCACAAACATTAATAAGATTAGTTGTTTGAATATTAAATATACCAAGAAAGTTAATTAGTTGTTCTACCTAAAGTCGATAATTACACAAAATTGTAAAACCAACAGTAAAATCAGTAAAAGCGTAAAAAACGATAAATCGCATATGTTCTCTATTTTTATACGTTTCCACGCATGGTTCATTAATGGTTGCTTATCACCAACAACGACGCCGTTTAATGATGAATTTTGGAAAGAAAAAAAAGCCTGGTCGTTCGCCTACCTCTAGGGCTCTAACTACCGTCGAGAGAGCCAAAAGAACCCTAAATCTACCTTCTCCATCTTCTCCTCAAAACTAGACCTAGTAGTGGCGCGCCTCCGCCCAGACCTCCTTCCATCTTCGCTAGTGCCCGACGGAACTCACCGCGTCTCGCTGTCTGACCCGATTCCGACGGACTGCACATAACCGATCCCACAAGTCGGCGACACTTCTCTGTCTCCAATCTCCACCCTGCCGCCAGTCCAAACTTCATCGGTCACCGCCTCCGGCAGCCGCGCCTGCAACCTTGGAACTTGGAAGGTAAGCCTGGTCTGTCTTCTCTCAATCGCAACCCATAAACTAGTAGGAAAATGATTTTTGTCTGATTGCATTTCGCACAAATTAACAATCTCATAAGGAAGCGATGAGAAGGGATTCAGTTCACGACTGGCTAAATCAACCTTCGTTAAAGTATCAGTAGCAGTGTTTTTCACATTCCCTCTTTTAACGACAGTTTGCTTTGGAGATGCATCCTTCTCAAGCGGCTCGAGGAGATGGACGAATTAGTAGAGCTCTTTCTCTAGATCCATCGCCTTTGTACTGGGTGCTTTCTCCAGCTCACCAATAATTGAGTTCAGTAGTACCTTAATGATCACTGATAGAACCAAGGCCAAGTATCTTTTCTTTTCTTCTTTAGGGGAAGTAAAGCTGCTACCATCCTTATTCTAGTCGGGATACCTTTACATAATAAAATGCAATGGAAATAGTATAAGAGGGTGGAAGTTTGTCGATCATGTAGATGTTTACTTGTACAAAGAAGGACAAATCATTACTAACCCTCCAGCTTTCCCATTCTCGCGAACTTCCGAATCTTTATCACTGCATCAGAGAATGACTCACTGGACAGATTTCTTTGTGCCTGGCACGAAACTTTACTAACTTAGGTTAAATTTATTCACGTGAACAGAAGATAGAAGAGGATGAAGAACCCTTGTTAGTTACTCTACCTCATCATCTTAGGAAAGGGCATTTGCTCTTGGGATGAAGAGCCAGTGGCTCTTCAACTAAAACATTGCCACGTTTTGATTTAATGATCATTTGGATGGAAAAGTTGAAGACAAAGCTTTAATGTAGTTTTTTTTTATTTAATTGATGTTAAAGAATTTGCTTATAGGTTCTTGAAGATAAATGTATGAGAGCCGACTTGGCAATTTGTGATGAGGAACACATTTGGTCGAATTGTGTGGTAATAGGGTTTTCTAAACCCGTGATAGGTTTCAGCTGTTGTTTTGACAGAAAGGGAATTTCTGAGGAACCTAGGCAAAACTATGTGAGCTCTTTGTCATGAATTGCCTTGTTTCATTATGATTAGTGCATAGCAAACCATGTGGCCTATATCATTAACATTTGTTGTTCAATGTCTAGTTGGAGATGCATTCCATTTGGATAGAAGCAAAGGCAGAGGGGAAGCCTGTATCGGGCTGTGAGATTGTTCGGAAGGTCCTGAAGAAAAAGGTGAAGTATGAACCGAAGGATAACCCAAGATCCGCAAAGGAGTTAGAATGTTTTGTTATGGTGGACAACTTAGAATTATTGGTTATGCTGAACAAGGGGTTGGACTGCTATGGAAATGGTTGTAATATTTTTGGTCTTTGTAATCTTTCCATTATCAGGTTGCAATGCAGGAAACAAGGAGTTAAACCACCTTTTCTGACAACTAATACTCGTCATAATATACAGATATGACAAAATATATTCGTCATAATATTCAGTTATGAAAAAATAATGTCGTCACAATAGACACTTGTGACAAAACGTAGTCATCACAATAAACACTTCTGACATAAAATAGCCGTCACAATATATAGTTATGACAAAATATAACCGTGTAATATGACGAATAATTCTCCCAAAGTAACCAGATTATGACAACCGTAATGACAAAATATGGCATCATAACATCTCTGTTTGTCATAATAGACTATCCAGAACCTCAGCTATACTGAAAGCAAATGTGACAACCTTGTTCTAAATTTTTGTCACATTTGACCTATCCTGACGGCGATAAAATGACAAACCTTTGCGACAACACCTTTTGTCATATAATACATAATATGACAAAATGGGTATCTAAAATGACAATATTGCCTCGTCATAATAGACCGAATTTGTTGTAGTAGATCCACAAAAGTGTTACTCTTTTATGAAATCAAATTTTATGAAGACTAATTATGCCCCGCCGCGAAGCGCGGGCTTTCCGTCCTAGTTATTATTACTTGGCCAGTAGCAATGAGGAATGTGATGCAATGTGTCATGCTTTTCCTTGGCATGATAACAACAAGTAGTACAAACGAGCAATTGCTTTTTTATGTGCACGCATCGTAATGCACACGATGGAATTAGGAGAGCTCGTATTGCTCTCTTTGGTTTAGGTGGCATTTGCTGAAAATCAATTGCATACATAATTCTGAGATAAGTTTTATAGTTAGACGATTTATCTATGAGAATAGTGAAATAAAGTTATTATGAATGTTATATAGTGATATTTACTATTAACTTCAAGAGGCTGATTGGGTTTTTACAATAAGAGGTTGATTGGTTGAGACCTACAACTTTAGCATCCATCATCGCTACCTCGTAAATCATAATAGTTTGAAATTGTTTCTGAGTTCCTGCAGTAGATGTCAAGAGAGAGAGAGAGAGAGAGAGAGAGAGAGAGAGAGAAATGGTACCAAATGATCGAACTCAGGATCAAGGTTATGTTAACAAGTAACCTAACCAAAGCCACCATCGAGCATTCCATAATAACTTGAAATTGGTGTAGGCCAAAGAGTAACTCTAAACTCTAACATTATTAGATCTTTTTTATCAATGAAAAACTATAGTACTTCTCTCCTATAGTTGTAGCACCCTCACCCTGTAGAAGATAACAATTAAAAAACGCAAGTACAACAAATTGTTTTAAATATTGGTTAACTGCACGAGATATTCTCAAAGTAATCTTCTTTTTAAATATTCTAAAAATAATGGGTAATAACATCTTCAATCACAATTCAGCAATATTACTATATCCTCCAACTTTTACTACATCCTTTTTCTTTCTCGAGTCACCAGACACTATGATCGTACAATGGGTTCCCCGTATACATTGCATGATTATATTAATAACATTTAAGACATCTACAGTGGTGAGACTTAAATGGATGACCAACATTAGAGCTCAGGAATATCAACTAAAATCGGATCTATCTCATCGTCCTCGAGCTATTGGCCTGCAACACCAAATATCATTTGGTATCATGCAACTCAAGCTTTTCCTCACTTAATTGGACCATCCCAACAACTAGACTGAGATCAGAGATTCGCCTGATCAAATGAAAATATAATGAGTTAACTCGAAGAAGAATGGAAGATAAATAAAAAAATATGTCTTCTAGTAGATGGATACAATAATAGTTATGTCGAAGAATGACAAAAGAAAGAAAAGAAAAAAATTCTACTGTGAACTTGAATCCAAGAGGTTAAGTGGTTGTTCGTTGAAGTAAAAAAATGTACATTCCATCATTGGCATCTTGTAATTTTGCATACCTTAGAATTAGGGTAGGCAACAGAGTTACCCTTGGTTGGAGCACCGTAGGATCATTTCCAAACCATAATCCATCACAAGTAATGAACTTTAGTTCTTTCCTCTTCAAATTGCAAGAGAAGACAACATAACCATAATAATGAGGAAGCATGCACCATAAAAATACAATTTTTGATTTTTTATAATGCTGACCAACCACATGTAACCCGTCACTCTCTAAGACTTTAAATTCGTGATGTCTTCCGGTGACAAGGGTAAACTTATTCAACAACATCTCATAACGTGCCCTCCAACCTTTCTCCCATCCCCAAAATCTCAATGCATCCCTTGGATGACCAATTTCCCTGGCGTGTAGGAGAATCATGTGCAAGGCCTTGGGAGGTCCAAACAGAGGATCGGTAATTGTTGATCTCATGAGCATCTATAAGAGTTTGGTCATCTCGTGGGCGAAAAGGATTTCATTTGACAACTTTCCTTTGTCTATTCTTCCAATACAACTTCCCATTGTGTGAAACTACAACTTTATCATAACTTGAATTCGGTGCTGATCGACTAGCACGATCAAGACGCAGTGAATTTCAACTTTCGTATTTTGAAGAGAACACATCCAACCAATTGTAATACATTCGCACCATGCAAAATTGCTACTCCAAATCATGAGTGAATGATTTCTCTTCAAATTCCCTTGTATCTAGAGAAATAGAATTACAGGGATCGCACACTAATCTTGTAGTAAGATGCCTTCCACTGGGCCTTCGAGGTGCTAGAGGAAGGCAAACCCATTGCTTCATGAATGGATTGTAGATGAAGTATGTTCTATCAAATTTGTCCTTGTTGCTGGTGTACCCCATTCTCAAAGCTGATTAAGAGCAAGTTGTTATGAAAATGTTCACGTATACTATGTTTCTTGCAACACAAGTCATATATAGAAACAAAATGAACAAAAATTTAAGGAGAAGAATTGATACTCATGCATAGAAAGTTATCAAAACATGCGTAAACACGGTCCGAGCCAATAGAACGCACTATTTCTCTTTAAAGAATTTAGTTCCCCTCTATGGTACCCAAGGTCATGGAACTATTTCTCACTGGATAAAATGGACGTACCTTTTCTGGCATACCGATCCTTGAAACCCCAAAAAATCAACAAACGCAACAAATGACGAGAAGTCGTACGACTCTGTTTGCTTGTATGCGCTTGTAGGGAGGAAAGTGCAATGAAGAAGAAAACTATTTTTCTTTCTTTCATAAAAAATTATATTGGGAAAAACTTCTGTATGAAAACATAGGGTTGGAGCTATTTATAGAAAATGAAGGGGTATTGTGTGAAGGGATGTGACTCTTCGAGTGGGTGGTTACACCCCAACCATTGCAATTGCTCATTAAAAAATTCTCAACCACGACATCGGTTCGGCCCATGATAGTTGGACTGGTTAGTTATTCCAATTGTCACATCAATTTGGTTCAACTCGGTTATGGTGGGTTACACAAACCAACATAACCAATTATCGAAGAGATTTAATGAAATAAAATCGACCAACCGAGGCCACTTTCCCACATCTCACCTATATGGTATTTCAAGAGCTTCTCTTATCTCATTCCCCTTTCATTCCCATTCACACCATTCAAAATTCCAACACAAGTCCATGAAGCAATCAAGAATTAGAAGCAATAGGGGTCGAATTTTGTTTCTAGGCATGGGTAGGATGAAGCTACTTATACCAATTTATGGGAATCCATGGGACTCAGAATAGGTGGTTCTGCTCTTGCGATGGCGGCGAAGGATTTGCATTGGAGAGGAAAGGAGAAGGGAGTGAAGATGAGAGAGTTTCAACGATTGCAGAAGGATTTGTATTGGAAGGCGAATAAGGATCTCTATGAGGAGTTCGTCGTCTTCGAGTTTGCTAATGGAGTAGTCCGTGGTCGCCATGGCGATGGCAGGCTTGTAGAGGATGAGATTAATTGGGAGAAAAAATAACAGAGTGTCGAATGAAGCACACAAATTCCTAACCCCTAGATTAGTTAATAATTTATTTATAAGTCTGCTGTTTTAAATTTGCCTTCTTTAGGTTGTTATATCATTATATGTATTGGGTAACACAAGCTCGACACTGCTGGCCTAGTAGGTTAGTTTTGGAACCCTTTCGGCTTAACCTAATCGAAATCTGCCGTAGGTGGACGATGACTCCAATCTTCTGCTCCACTGGTGGGATCTTCTCCAATATTTGTCATAAGGGAAGGGGGAGAATGAGGGTTGGTGAAGGGGGAAACGAAGCTTGGTCCGAGCTGGGGAAGTGGGGAAAGCAAGGTACATAGGGTAGCCTGGATAAGGGGTTGCTGTTGCTGAGAACTAAAACGTTGTCGCAATGAGATACATGAGTTGGAAATCCAAAACGCATAGCGACACTTAAAAGGGAGTGAAAAGTCAAGATTACCCATCCGGGAAACACTCTCCTTCCAGCAAATTCAAAATGGAGAAAAGTTGGAGCATGAATCTCCATCTTATATTTTGTTGTAGATAATAATTTAAAATTTTAATGATGAAATGAAATTTATCTTATATGTATATATTAAAATATATCTCTCATAAAAGAAAACCTACCTAACCCCGTAAATCACTCATTATTTCCCTTCCCTCTCTCTTTCTTCTCCCTCTTTAAGGGTCAGACCCAGGGTTTTTCGGAGGCCATTTTGATTTTTGAAATATGACTTTAGCCGAACCGGGTCCAACCGAGGGGTCGGTAGGGGTTTCATAGCCTTGGTATATAGGCTATATGTTCCCTAGTTAGCATGTCTATGGATGGTAACTAGTCGGTTCGGAGATTGATAGTGTATATCCATTAGCATACTTTAAGTGGTTCATGTTGTATCTATATTCATACTTGTTCTTGATTTAAGTAGTAAACAAAAATCATACTTATTTATGTTCGAGTTTCGGTTAGTAGATGATTAATAGTATATATTGCAAATGCCAAATATCTTGTGAGAGAGAATGATGATTCATAGAAAAATGTACTTATGAATTTCTAATCGAGCGACTTCGAGTTGGATAGTACAAAAATTATGTCTGTTCATTACCTATAATGTTCGGGTGTGGATACCACCAAGTATTTGGTTTAATTAGGGAATTACCATATTTAATTGGATCAGGTTCAAATGATTAACCATGTTAGTGGATGTTTTTTAATAGGTCTCAAACCTCATACCAAGTAGTCATCACCACAAAACATATTGCTTGACAATGATTTCTTTATATCATCAACTAAATATTTTCAACCTTACAAGAGACACTTTTTCTTCTACCAAATGCATTTGCCCCCTTAAGATATCGAGTTGCACTACAGAATTCAGACAGAAAAAAATCCGTCTCCCTTTGCTCATCATCCAACACCTATATAACATTCTATTTCAAGTTTAGAAGAAGATAGTTTTCAAAAAGTTTAGAAGAAGATAAAGTATAACGAGATAAAAATGGAATAAAATAAAATAACGCAATTCGTCTTCCGATCCCTCTTGAGTTCACAAGGTTGTTACTTGATAGACGGTTTGGTTGAATTGAAGTCTAGTGTAGGTAAATTTTTGTAGTTTGGAATTGCAGGAGATAAGAGAGCAATTTTTTATTAAAACTCTATCAAACTACATTCATGCTATTTTCGATAAACTAAAATTTTTTATCAAAGAACAATTTTCTATTGGAACTCCTTCCAACTCATTTATGCAATTTTTGATAAGTTAAGAATTTCACTGCTGCCGTCCTCAAATTCATGATCATCAAATAACATAATGATGACGACTTTGAAGAAAACTTTACAGATGAACAATTTATGACTTTTGTGAATGTTGAATAACTACATCGAACGTTTCTAATCGAACACTCAATTTTGCGACAAGATCCATCAACAACAATGCCATTCAGAGCGATCAATTGCTTTGTGTTCTAACCCGTTCTACCTCCAGTTGTCACTTGATTCGCATCAAGAAATCCAGCTTAAACTGTAACTAGCCTATGTTAAGAAACTAACCTGATTACCTGAATCTGGTTCCTTGAGCCCCTTAGGTAGCACAGAACTCCCTGCAGAACACAGAACTCCATTCTACTGTAACAACTCAGAATGACTGCTCAGTTCCTGGATGAAGGATTTGAGAAAACGAACCCCTCGCCCCCAAACTCTATTACCACGTTGACACATGACCACAAAACTTACTGCTACACAAATTATTATAACCATGATCTGATCAACCATATTTTACTAATAATATAATATATCTTCAACCTCCCTGCAGCATATACTTTCTCTTCTACTAAATGCTATTTCCACTGATGAGAATATTTACTAGACAATAAATTAGAACATTGGATATCGAACTCGAAAATACAAGATAATGCTTTCTGTAACAAGGTTGCATGAAGATGAAGGTAACAAGATAAAAGGGTTAAGGAACAATTATTCTCCTAATTATCATCTTCATTCACAAGGTTTTCACAGTCTAAAATTGTTGTAGATCAGATATCAATTCTCGGTGGGAACACCATTCTATTACATTGCTTATCGCGATAAGCCAAGAACTCCAGCTCTTTCATCCTCAAATTACACGAGAGGAGAACATAACATTCTTTATCGGGATGAAAAGCTGTAAGATATATAATTTCGGGCTTGTGTGAATGCTGACCAACAACATTGAGCGCCTCTAACTCTGAGCACTTAATTTTACTACCCCATTTGTCGGCAGCAGCAATGTTGTACTTCAACGAGACTTCATAATGTCTCCTCCAACCTTCTTCTTTTTCTAGTCTCCAAACACTCAAACTATCCATTTCGCTGTCCATGTCAATCATGTACAGAACACCCTGCGAGCTGCAAATGGAGGTGGAACAATTTGACGCACGCTTGGGTTTAACCCAGCTCTCGATACCCTGTAATCTCTCGTAGTTTGGAATCGCGGTAGGCCAGAGATCCATCCTTGGTTGGAAAACCATATGATTATAGTGCTGTCTTCCACGAGCCAAGAACTCCAACTCTTCCACTCTCAAATTGCACGAGAGGATGACATAACGATCACTATTGGGATAAAAACCTTTCAGATAGATAACTTCCGGCTTCTGTGAATGTTGACCCACGACAACAAGCCTCACTAGCTCCGAGCACTTGATATCGAGACCGCATTCGTCAATAACAACACCACACATTAACTTCTTGAACGACACTTCGAAATGCCTCTTCCAGCCTTCTTCTTCTTCTTCTTCTTCCAGCCTCCAAACGATCAAGCCATCCACTTGTTTCACCCGGCCTGGAGGCCGAGTACCTTCCATGTTAATAATGTACAGAGCACCCTGCGAGACACAAATGGAGGGGGACTGATGGGATGGCAAACGGATCAAAGTTCGAGGACGATTATCATTCTCCAGGCGAAAAGGATTCCACTCAACCACCTGACCCATCCAAGTCGTCCAGTATAGTTTTCCATCAAACGAGACTACAACCTTGTGTAAGTGCCTCAGCCAATCTGATGGGTTGTAATCCAAATCAAGAACCACTTTCGTCCATTCAACCGAATTCGAACAGAACACGTCGAGGATTACAGCAATTGGATCTTCTCGTCTATACATACGCACCACGCGAAATCGATAGTCGGAACTATGAGTGATTACTTCTCCTTCCCCGTCGCCCGAATCAAGAGTAATAGAGTTACCGGCCTCGCATACTAATCTTGCATTCTCACATCGATGTTCCAGCGGAGGCGCTAAAGGAAGGGCTACCCATTGCTTTGTAAACGGATTGCAGAGGATGAATGTTCGGCCCAGTTCGTCGTACTTCCACTTGCTGAACCCGACCAAGAGCAGGTCCTTGAAGCAATCCGAAACATAGGAGCGGGATCGGATTTCATCGCTAGGCACAGGTAGCAAGCTAGACATCAATTCGTCACAATCTGAGGGAAGTAGAAGTGGGGGTTCGCCGGCGGAAATAGTCCGCTGGTGAGAAACCAAACGGCGAGAGAAGTAAGGAGCGGAGATGATGGAATTCCAGCGCTTGCAGATGGATTTGCAGCGGAAGGCGGATCTAGGGTTTGGAAGGCGGATAATAACATCCACCAGCAGATCATCTCCGAAGTTGCTGATGGAGGCAGGGGTGGTAACTTGTCGTTTCCGGCGTCCGTTTGCAGCCGAGCGGCAGTAGTTCTCGGCTGCCATGGCTAGCCGTCGACGCGGAGGTTAGGAGAAAAGAAGACAGAGCTCCTGTATTTGGCGGACGGACAGGAATCCAGAATCCTCCAATTACTATTTTATTTTTCCGTAGTGTACCTGCATTCTGGACCGATACAACTCGTTTATAACATGTCTAATTTGTAGAATAATTGTTTTATATATTTTATATATTAATGTATTAATAAATATATAATTAGTTGAGAGACGAAGTAAAATATTTATAAATATTTTAAAATTAACTTACTCGTACCTTGTTTATAGTCGCAGTAGGTTTAGTACTAGGATGCATATGTGCAAAATTAAATATGTCATCTTAATTTTCAGTGAGCCACTTTGAAGGGTGATATTAATTTTTTCATTTTATTTACTTTTTAAAGTTGTTAATTTTTTTTTGTTTTACATTAAATTTTAAATCTTTTTGACAAATGAAATCGTTTTATTGTGATTTACTAAATTTTATCAATTTTCAAAATATTTCAATAAAACAAATTCCAAACCACTCATTATCACTTTATACCACATTCGTTTGTAACTCAATTTAAAAAATATATATATAAAAAGAACGAGATTCGATATATTTCTGAAAAAATTACCATCATAGTAGAAGGTGGTAACTGATAAGTGGTAGGTGGTGAATAGGTTAGACTAACAGGCTATATTTAGCCTCCCAAGCTTTCAAATGTGTACTTTTATCTTCAGAAATACATTTTTTTCTAACCCTACAAACTTCCAAGTTTAGTTTTCTATCCCATTTTTTCAAGTTTATTCAATAA